CAGGAAAGCTGGTAATAGGGAACCCAAGGTCAAGAAGGGAGAGTCTGTAGACATGTCGTGGGGTTGTTAACCAATGTCATAAAACAATATGTGTACTATTTAATGAAAAGCTAGTTTGTTCTGTAAACCTTCATCTAAAATACAATAAAATAAATAAATAAATAAAATCAGGATTGTAGAAAATGAAAAATAATATACAGGGCAAAAATAACTTTAAGGACATTCTAATGTTGAACTAAGATTACATTACTTAAATGAGATAGTGTGTTGAAAACAAAGCTACATGCATAGTAAGAACTAAATTTATTTACCTATGGGTTTCTTAAAATATTTTATAAAAATGTATTTAATGCCTATTTCCCCGAAGCAGTGGTTAAACATGTGACTGCCAACTGAAATGTCAGCCGTTTGAACCTACCAGCCGTTCCACAGGAGAAAGATATGGCAGTCTGCTTCTGTAATTATTATACCAGTTCTACTCTGTCCTATAGGGCTGCTAATGAGTTGTAATCAACTCGATGGCATCAAGTTTGGTTTGGGGGCAAGGCATACTGGCGGATACAAAGATAAAAAAAGAAAAAACTCATAGACCTGCCATTGAGATTCTTGGAGGAGTAGGCTTAAATGTACAAAAATTGTTTTTATAGTGCAAGAAAAAGATTGCAAAAGCTGTACTCCTTACAGTGTCCTTATTCCCTTGCTTTCTTACTGGATTATTTGTTTTTCAGGATAAGATTAGTGTCTTACTCACAGTGGTATTTTCTTGAACTATCAAAATTAAGTGATGTTTCCCCCATTTAGAATTACTATATGTTTTATCATTTCTTGTGATTATCCCTTTGCAATTTGAATTAATTTAAGTTTAAAATAAATTTAAGGTGATGAAATCAGAATGTTTGAGAAAAATCAAGACTTGAAAATGTAGCACTCTATATTATGTGCTCTTGGTGAATGAAATTATTTTATGGAGTAAATTGAGCCAGACAACTTATATATGTATTAATTTGTTTAATCTTGATAATGGAATAAAGTAAATGCCACTATTATCCCTGTGGTACATATTAAGAACTAAATACAAAAAGAGATTGTTATTTCCCCAATGAAGTGGCAAGGAGCATGCATTCAATGTACTATAAGTAGGCAAATACGGACCCATATATTCCCTTTATTGCCCATCTCATTCTATACCAAAAAAAACCAAACCTGTTGCCATCAAGTCAATTCCAGCTCATAAAATGGAAATATTTTTGTTGTTTATGTTGTAACTATATGTCTAATAGCTGTCATTTATTGAGATCTATTCTTTTCACACATTATCTCATTAATTCTCACAGTAATACTTCAAGGTTAGTATTGTATTGGACTGAGGAGGAAGCAGAGGTTAAGAGCACTTTGCCGGAGTCATAAAACTAATTAAAGTTGAAGCTAAGATCTTAACCCAGGTCTATCTAATTGTAATGTCTTTACTTAGGAAATAGGTCAAATAGAAAGGCAAGATCAGGTTGTTGTTAGGTGCCGTCAAGGCAATTCCGACTCATAGCGACCCTGTGTACACTAGAACAAAACACTACCTGGTCCTTGCCATCCTCATTATCCTTGTTATGCTTGAATCCACTGTTGCAACCACTGTGTTAATCCATCTCATTGAAGGCCTTCCTCTTCTTTGCTGACCCTCTACTTTACCAAGCATGATGTCCTACTCCAGAGACGGGTCCCTCCTGATAACACGTCCAAAGTATGTGAGACAAAGTCTTCCCATCCTCCCTTCTAATGAGCATTCTGGCTGTGCTTCTTCCAAGACAGATTTGTTCGTTCTTTTGGCAGTCCATGGTATATTCAATACTCTTCACCAACACCATAATTCAAAGACATCAATTCTTCTTTGGTCTTCCTTATTCATTGCTGAACTTTCGCATGTATATAAGGCAACTGAAAACACCATGGCTTGGGTCAGGCACACCTTAGTCCTTAAAGTGACATCTTTGATTTTTAACACTATAAAGAGGTCTTCTGCAGCAGTTTTGCCCAGTGCAATGCATCGTTTGATTTCTCGGCTGCTGCTTCTATGGATGTTGATTGTGGATCCAAGTAAAATGAAATCCTTGACAACTTCAGTCTTTTCTCCATTTATCATGATGTTGCTTATTGGTCCACTTGTGAGGCTTTTTGTTTTCTTTATGTTAACGTGTAATCCAAACTGAAGCCTGTAGTCTTTGATCTTCAGGAGTAAGTGCTTCAAATCCTCTTCACTTTCAGCAAGCAATGTTGTCATCTGCATAACACAGGTTGGTAATGAGTGTTCCTCCAATCCTCATGCTGGGTTCTTCTTCATATAGTCCAGCTTCTCGGATTATTTGCTCAGCATACAGTTGAATAAGTATGGTAAAAGGATACAACCCTGACGCACATCATTTCTGACTTCAAACCATGCAGCATCCTCTTGTTCTGTTCAAATGACTGCCTCTTGATCTATGTACAGGTTTCTTATGAGCACAGTTAAGTGTTATGGATTTCCTATTCTTTGCAATGTTATCCAGAATTTGTTATGATCCACACAGTGTAATGCCTTTGCATAGTCAATAAAACACAGGTAAGCATCTTTCTGATATTCTCTGGTTTCAGGTAAGATCCATCTGACATCAGCAATGGTATCACTTCTTCCACATCCTTTTCTGAATCCCACTTGAATTTCTGACAGTTCCCTGTTGCTGTACTGCTGCAACCACTTTTGAAAAATCTTCAGTAAAATTTTACTTGCATGTGATATTAATGATATTGTTTGATAATCTCCACATTCTGTTAGATCGCCTTTCTTTGGAAAGGGCGCAAATATGGATCTCTACCAGTCGGTTGGCCAAGTAGCTGTCCAAATTTCTTGGCATAAACGAGTGAGCACTTTGAGTTCTGCATCGTTTGTTGAAACATCTCAGTTGGTGTTCTGTTAACACCTGGAGCCTTGTTTATCGTCAATGCTTACAGTGCAGCTTGAGCTTCTTCCTTCAGTACCATCAGTTCCGGATCATATGCTTCCTCCTGAAATGTCTGAATGTCGACCAATTCTTTTTGGTACAGTGATTCTGTGTATTCCTTCCATCTTCTTTTGATGCTTTCTGCATCGTTGGCAGCCTATAAGGTGACACATTGTTCATAAACCAAAAACAAACAAACAACAAAAAATAAAACCAAAACCATTGCCATCAAGTCAGTTCCAACTTATAGCCATCCTAGAGGACAGAGTAGAACTGCCTCGTAGTGTTTCCAAGGAGCAGCTGGTGGATTCAAACTATGGATCTTTTGGTTAGCAGCCAAGCTCTTAACCATTGCACTACCAGGGTCCCACACTGTTCATAAACCGGTGGTAATCTGCCTTCCCTGATTGACTAATGCTCTTCTTGGCATGCATATATGTATGTGTGTGTGTGTGTGTGTGTGTGTGTGTGCACACATACACATATATGCTTGTGTGGAAATGCTGGTGACATAGTGATTAAGAGGTACGTCTGCTAACTAAAAGGTCGGCGGTTAAAATCTACTAGGCACTCCTTGGAAGCTCTATGGGGCAGTTCTGTTCTGTCCTATAGGGTTGCTATGAGTCGGAATCAACTCGACAGCAATGGGTTTGGTTTGATTTGGTTTTATATGCTTGTGTGTTTGTGTGTAAATTATTTGGATGATTATATTATTTAATTTATGAAATCTACATAGTTCTTTTTATTTTATATTCATATTAAATTCATATAGAACATCCAAGCATTATAATACCACAAACCACGTATAAATTATAGTATATCCCCAAATATTGACCAATACTTTCCCTAATCTTAAGAAATATAATATCTGTGAAACATGTAACTCATACTTAGTAAGGATAAATTGTTACCAGAAAACTAACGGCAACCATTTAATTGCTCATCCTGGAGAAATAACTCTGCAAGTACTATTCTTTCTATTTCTGTAATTCACATTCTAAAAATTATGCTATTTTAGACTTTAATTAAAATATGTAATTTGGGCTTTATGTGATATAATGTCTTATTTTTCCATTTAGCATAGTCAATTCTGTTGTACTAGATATTAATCAGAGATTCTTAAAATCTCTTACTTTTTGCCAGATGTTATAAAATATTAAGAGAATGTGTTCTGCCCTGAATTGTTGTTTTTATCTATTTTAACTGCATAATTTCCAATCTTTATTTTGCCCCCTGGTACTTAACTTCCCTATCTTCTTTTCTTACACTTCTTCAGTAAACAAAAACCCTTTGTCTTTGTAGAACTGCACCAAATCCCCAGTTTCACATTCCATAGAATCATTTGTTGCCAAAAGTTTATAGGACTTTGCCTTTACAGTCATCCTAGTTATTCTATAAAACGAACAGATTTCGAATGTTCTTGGATTAAGACATATAGAATTTATACACCTTTGTTATGAAAATACTACATATGAGGGCAAAAAATAACCTACTCTTTTATCTGTTAATTTGATGGAATACTCTTTTTCTACCTCTTCCTTGTCCCATGATTGTCTTGTTTCCATATCCTATATCCAAGATCCCTATAGTTCAGGGGGGATAAAGCTGAGTTTATGGTTTTTCTCTAATAAGCGCCCTTAGCGAGTTCTACATTTATTGAAATTTTCTTTATTCCACCAGAAATATCAGGAATTTAAGAAAGAAGCTAAAATAATAAACAGTAAAGCAGCTTCCCAAAGAATAAGATGATGTCATAAGTAGAGCATTTGAATGTAGATTTTTTCACACTCTTAGTACTTTTGTTCTTTATATTACATATTGGCTATTAATGTGTTTAATGGGAAAACCAATAATATATGAATGATTGGGTTACCTTTTCATATTATGAATCTTTTTAAAGTAACATTATCATCAATTCCATAGAATCTTATAGAGTGGGTATTATTTTTTAACACCTTCATAAAGAGTATACAGACATTTCAGAGCAAGAATGAGCCAGAGCTGAACTTTGGTCGTGTTCATTTTGTCTAGATCCTGCTGTGCGCCTAGCATTATTCAAAAACAATGAAAGTAAACTTTCTGTTACAAAATCACCAAAGAAGACACAGCCAAGAAGAGATGATTACTTTGAAGGTAGGGTTTAATCACAGATACATAGAAAGGTAAAAAGATAAGTGAAGATTGAAAATTTTATTTAAAACAAATTTGTAAAATCCTCAATAAGTCCTGTGGTACATACGTAAAAAATTATGTATAAAATGTACTTGAGTTAAAGTTAAATTATGGTTCTTAGAGCTAAAATAGCAATTGAGTGTACCGATACATTAGCATAGGTAGTTTAGTATTTGTATCAATGAGTATATGAACTTTAAATTACTTATATAATTATTTGAAAGTCTTATAATGCTGCATCATCAATGTTATTTTGTTTTAATTTCATAGTGACAAATAATAATAGTCTATATCAATGAAGGTGATTACATGTTAAAATGATATTCCAATGTATTTATTTTGCTGCCAATATATATGAATTGCATTAAACACTATGAACTATACAGTGGAGTTTAAAATAATTTACTCTTATTTGAAGCTTACCAGACTCACTTTTGGTATGAAGGATTTGCACATCAAGGTGGCAGATTATATTTCTGATTGTGACATTCAGAACAATTATGGACTTGTTATTAAACAGAAATATTTAAATATAATAGAGCTGCAAACATGACTTAAAACAAATTTGCCGTTTGTTTTCTTTTTAATTTTAAAATTTTTATAGTTTTATGTATATTTTTCTATTGTAACTTCTCATGGGAAAAAAGTATCGAAATATATTTAAATAAACAAAAACATAAGCAAACCCATTGCTGTCGAGTCGATTCTGACTCATAGCAACCCTGTAGGACAAAGTAGAACTGCCCCATGGCATTTCCAAGGAGAGGCTGGTGGATACAAACTGCCAACCTTTTGTTTAACAGCCCAGCACTTAATCACTGTGCATCCAGGGCTATTTAGAATTTTCAATACTTTGTGCATTTTTAATAAATCTTAGAATTTATGCATATTCATATCACAATTAAAAAAAGAAAAGACTTAGAAAACTAAAAGGGAAGAACACACTTGTTTCTCAAGTTGAAGAACTGAAGAAAAAATTCAAGCTTCAAGCTGCAATATGGTAGGATTCTATGGGGAAAATATTAAATGATGCAGGAAGCATCTAAAGAAGAAGGAAAGAATGCACAGAGTCACTGTACCAAAAAGAACTGGTCGACATTCAACCATGTCAGGAGGTAGCATATGATCAAGAACCGATGGTACTGAAGGAAGAAGTCCAAGCTGCACTGAAGGCATTGGCAAAAAACAAGGCTCCAGGAATTGACTGAATACCAATCCAGATGTTTCAACAAACAGATGCAGTGCTGTAAGCGCTCCCGCATCTATGCCAAGAAATTTCGAAGACAGCTACCTGTCCAACCGACCGGAAGAGATCCATATTTATGCCTATTCCAAAGAAAGGTGATCCATTAAAATGCGGAAATTATCGAACAATATCATTAATACCACATGCAAGTAAAATTTTGCAGAAGATCATTTGAAAGTGGTTGCAGCAGTACCTCAATAGGTAACTACCAGAAATTCAAGCCGGATTCAGAAGAGGATGTAGAACAAGGGATATCATTGCTGATGTCAGATGGATTTTGGCTGAAAGCAGAGAATACCAGAAAGATGTTTACCTGTGTTTTATTCACTATGCAAAGGTATTTGACTGTGTGGATGATAACAAATTATGGATAACATTACAAAGAATGGGAATTCCTGAATACTTAATTGTACTCATGAGAAATCTGTACATAGATCAAGAGGCGGTTTTTCGAACAGGACAAGGGGATACTGCATGGTTTAAAATCAGGAAAGGTGTGTATCAGGGCTGTATCCTTTCACCATACTTATTCAGTCTGTATGATGAGCACATAATCCGAGAAGCTGGATTATATGAAGAGGAGCGTGGCATCAGGATTGCAGGTAGACTCATAAACAACCTGTGACATACAGATGACACACCTTGCTTGCTGAAAGTGAAGAGTACTTGAAGCATTTACTGATGAAGATCAAAGATCATAGCCTTCAGTATGGATTACACCTTAACATAAAGAAAAAAAAATCCTCACAACTGGACCAATAAGCAACATCACGATAAACAGAGAAAAGATTGAAGTTGTCAAGAATTTCATTTTACTTCCATCCACAATCAACACCCATGGAAGCATCAGTCAAGGAATCAAACGACACATTGCATTGGGCAAATCTGCTGCAAAAGACCTCTTTAAAATGTTAAAGATCAAAGATGTCACTTAAGGACTAAGGTGTGCCTGACTCAAGCCATGATGTTTTCATTTGTCTCATAAGCATGCAAAAGCTGGACAGTGAATAAGGAAGAGTGTAGAAGAATTGATACCTTTGAATTTTGGTGTTGGCAAAGAATAATGAATATACCATGGACTGCCAAACGAATGAACAAATCTGTCTTGGAAAAAGCACAGCCAGAATGCTTCTTAGAAGCAAGGATGGCATGACTTTGTCTCATACGCTTTGGACATGTTATCAGAAGGAACCCGTCTCTGGAGAAGCACGTCATGCTTGCTAAAGTAGAGGGTCAACGAAAATGAAGAAGATCCTTAATGAGATGGATTGACACAGTGGCTGCAACAATGGGCTCAAGTATGACAACAATTTTGAGGATGGCACAGGAGGGGGCAATGTTTTGTTTTGTTGTGCATAGGGCCACTGAGTCAGAACCAACTCAGTGGCACCGGCAACACAACACCACATTTAGATTTACATGTCTGTTCTGTAATACCTCAGACTAAAGAAGAATTTGATAGTCACCACATGTATGTTTTTTTAGAGTTGACTCTTAAAATATGTAGAGATGAAAGACTTGGGGTTTGGAATTTTCTTTACATAGTAATAAATACATACATATAAAGGTAGGCAAAGCAAGTGTGGTAAATTATTGGAATTGATGAATCAGCAGTTGTTGGTATATGGCTGTTTGTTTTACCACCTCTTTTTTTAGTATTTGAAATTTTCCATAGTAAAACATATAGATATTTGTGGACTGATATTTTAATAAGACTAAAATATTTCCCCAATATACAGTAAGGCTTGGATTTTAATCAGGGTTCATTTCCTTGTTACAGTCTTTACTATTTCTCTTTCAGGGCCTCAAACCAGTTTGTCCTGGTTCAGTCATGGCTGAGGAAGTGAGCCGGAACAGATCTGAAATTTTAAAATTTGGGCAACCAGAATGATGACCGGAATGTGAACAATTACAGGTCAAAGCCCTGCTAGAAACCCAATCTCCCTCTTAGAAAACAAGGGCAGCATATGTGTTGCATAGCAATCAGATCTCTTGGCTGTTGGATTTTCAGCAGAGTCAAAAACAGCAGAGCCCTGCTCAAAGATGGTGGCCCGTCGTGTCGCTTGAATGCATGTCACTCTCCACAGTCTTGCCAATAATCCAGTCTCACACATCTGGCTCCTGAAAGGGCTCACTATGCCTCTTCCAAGTCTCCCATTCCAGGGCTTCAACTCATAACTTTTCCCATTCCGGTTATTGTTCCAGTTCACCCAAATTTTACAAATTCAAGTCTGTTCAGTTTCACTTCGTGGACTGTGACTGAACCTTTTGAACCAGCTTGAAGCCCTGTTCACTTTAAATAGAAAGAGTGAAAATTCTGCTAAAATCAATAACAACTCCACAGATGTTGTCTGTTAAATAGTAAGATTGTTATTTTAGAAAAGGAATACCTGGAAATAGAGATAATTGAAGTGTACACTTTAAGTCAGCACACATCTCAGAATTGGAAAGGAGAAAGCTCCTTAACACGTTCTAGTACATTCTCTTGTGCTATGAAATATGAAGATATGATACCATGTAGAATACTATATATGTGTATAGGATGTATTTATTGATTTTTGTACTAATATAAAATATGCTAGGAATAATTCAAATAATTCAAAGTGGCCTATAGAACATGGTACATTTATACATGACAATGTAGACCTTTGACCCAATCAATGCTGAGGAGACTTTGACCACACCTGCTTCTACACTAACCTCAGCCATGTGCCATGTATCAGTTCTTCCTATGAGACGAGACTGATAGCCTAAGAACTTTGTAGATCCAACAATGGCCTACTTTATTTGTTTGCTGGTTTATTAATTTGTTTTTATTTAGTATCTTTAAGATTTCCAACCTGATTTCCTTTGTCTATTTCAAGTGTTCAATTTGGAGCCCTGACATCACTCTTCTATATTCAGTTCTGGTAAAAGAGACAACATAGCTTAATAAATATGAGTATAGTCTCTGGAGTTAGTCTAACATGGTTTGAATCCTGACTCCACCATTTATTAGCTGTGTGACCTTGGGGAAGGTTATTTAATGTCTCTGTTTCTAATTGCTTTTCATCTGGAAATTCGGATACTAATAGTACTAGTTGTTGGGGGTATTTTCAGCTTTATATAAGATCTTACCTGTGAAATGCTTGGAACATAAAGCATTAAGTACGTAGTAAGTACTTAATAAATATAATCATTGGCAATAGTCATTTTAAGGATGTCTTTATTCTTTGTCTCTTATTAACAATTGGTAGTCTTTGTTGTAGTTCTTGCTAAGTACTGTGCCAAGAATCTTACTTATTCTCTGATTCAGTGTTCTCAGAAACTCTGAGGAAGGCATTCTGTCAACATTTTACAGATGAGTAAACTGAGGTTTTGAGATTTTAATAAATGACTTACCCAAGATCATACAAAGACTAAATGGCTGAGGGGCAAGAGGGAAAATTTCTTTGTCAATACAAAGCTAGCCAACTTCAAATAAAATACACACTTTGAAGGACAAAGTTTCTTAGATAACCCTGAAATTTTTGCAGAAACTTAGAATCAAAATATTTAAGAAAAAAAATAAGGCTAATTATTAAATTAGGCAAAACTTTGGGACACTAATAATTATTTTCATTCTTTATTCCTTTATCACAACTTACATTAATATAAATTTTTCAAAAAACAGTTTCTTCCCCATCCTTAACAGTCTAGTGCCAACATAGTGATCAAGATCTGATTTATATCCCAT